GAATAATCTTTAATTGATAACTTATCCAATTAATATATAAACCATAGCTCAAATATCATAATACATTGAATAAATCAAACTCTTGATGAACTTCCTCCAAAGATAAAACTCAACTCATATAAATCATGCCTTATTACTTAGATGTTGGCTTACAAAACTTGTAAGTGAAATAACTCAAACTCACATACATAACTCAACATATTCAACTTACCAACATCAAACATAACTCATGATTTATAACAATTAAACTTGCTCATCCTTATAACTCAATCATAACATTAAATTATGATATTAACATGTTTACTCAACATGTTAAAGCTAAACTTGCACAATTTATGAAATTGCATGCTTATCAACATTTTGATGCTAAACTTATCAATTTACTCATCATCAAATGTGAAACTCATACTCTTACACTTAACATGAATAACACATCATATTAAGCTATCAACTTATAACTTTATCAACTTCTCATCATGATAACTCATATCAATCACATGAAATGGATACTATTATGCCAACATAAACTAAATCATTACTCAACTTATAACTCATGCATGATATCAAATACTTAAATTCTAACAAGAATCACTTATACTAATCATGCTTTGCTAATAACATGATTCAATCATCAAATACAAGCATGAATTACCTCCTTCAAGGACTTGAATTTTGAAAGACTTGATATGAACTTGAATATGAACTTGAATATCTTGAAAATCCTTTACTCCAAAATACTTCTCCTCACTTAAACTCTCAATATAACTTTGATACTTTACTTTGGTGTAAAAATCTGATTTTTGAAGTCTCTATTTATAGCCAAAACTTTGGAATAAAATATTTGGAGTGAAGAAATTAACAAAATAAACAATTTAAACTTGTAAAAATTAATCACTTAAACAAGTCCTTACCAAACATTTCAAATTTTTAGCTAAGCATATTTAATTGCTCAAAATACACTTTAGTTGGCATCAAACTCGAATCATAAAAATCTGAAATTTAGTCGGTCACACGACCAGTGTCACTAGTCACACGACCCGTGTGACGCCACACGACCCGTGTCACTTTAGTCACACGACCCGAGTGAACTCAGACGACCCGTGTCACTTAAGTCACACGACCCATGTGAAAAAAAATGAAGCTAAACTTGAATAGTGCCTTGAGCCACACGACCCGTATGGCTTGTCACACGACCAGTGTGACGTCACACGACCAGTGTGGCTACCCACACGACCCGTGTGACTTAAAAACTTTAAAATTTTAACTTTTTAAGCCTCAAAATAGCTCAATCTTGGAAATAAACTGATACTTATTACTAATAAGTGAATGGGATATTACATTCTACCCCCCTTAAAACTATTTCCGTCCTCGGAAATACTGAAACAGAATACTGAAACTAAGAACATACCTAACATCAAAACTCGAAATCTGGACATCGAGCTCTAATATCAGCTTCTTGCTCCCAAGTGGCATCTGAATCTCCGTGGCGATTCCATTTGATACGAACGAGGGGAACATCTCGTTTCCTAAGCCTTTGAACCTTTCGGTCCAATATTGCTATAGGCCGCTCCTCGTAAGTCAAATCTGGTTGAATTTGTATCTCATTATGCTGAAGTACATGGTCTGGATCGCACACATATGCACGTAACATCTATACATGAAAAACATTATGCACGCTTGCCAACTCAGGAGGTAAAGCTAATCGATAAGATACTTCTCCTACTCGTTCAAGAACTTCGAACGGACCAATATAGCGAGGATGCAACTTTCCTTTCCTCCCAAAACGAATAACCCCTCTCATGGGTCGAACTTTTAAGAAAACTTTATCTCCCACCTCAAATTGCATATCTCGTCTATGCTTGTCAGCTGTAAATTTTTGCCGACTTTGAGCAGTCTTGAGCCTTTCTCGATTCCAGGCTACTTGTTCAACAGTTTCTTCGATCATCTTCGGGCCAAGTACTTGCTTTTCTCCAACATCATCCCAATAAAGAGGTGAACGACACTTGCGGCCATAAAGTGCCTCGTAAGGAGCCATCCGAATTGATGAATGATAGCTGTTATTGTATGAAAATTCTACTAACGGCAACCACTTCTCCCACTTGGAACCTCTATCCAGAATACAAGCTCTGAGCATATCTTCAAGCGTCTAGATCGTCCTCTTTGACTGGCCATCTGTCTCCGGATGATAAGCCGAACTGAAACGTAACTGCGTGCTCATTGCCTTATGCAAACTTTCCCAAAATTTACTAGTGAATCTAGGATCTTCATCAGATATTATTGTAACAGGCACTCCATGGAGTCAAATAATTTCACGAGTATAAATTTCAGCTAACTTGCCTATTGACATGGTCATTGCTACAGGCATAAAACGAGCGACTTTCGTCAACCTGTCTACTACTACCCAAATCGCGTCATGTTGTTCTCATGACTTAGGTAGCCCTGTAACAAAATCCATGGTAACTTCTTCCCACTTCCATTTAGGAATCTCTATTGGTTGCAACAGACCTAATGGACTCCGATGCTCGGCCTTAACTTGCTGACAGACCAAACATTTCTTCACAAAATCTGCTGCATCTTTCTTCATCCCTTTCCACCAAAATGACTTTTTCAAGTCATGATACATTTTGGTGCTTCCAGGGTGAGCTAAATATGGTGCACTATGTGCTTCTGACAAGATTTCCTTTCGCAGAGCCTCGACCTTTGGCACAACAATCCTTCCTCTGAACTCCAATGCTCCATCGGAACCTCGATAAAAACCTTCTACTCCTCCAGCTTGAACTTTTTCTTCCATCTACCGAACAAATTGATCGAAAGATTGCTCCTTCCGAAAATTCTTTCTCTCAGCATAGGCTGAACTCTCATTGAGTTAACCCTTCCAGTAACCTCCTTAGGAAGTGTCTTGACAGCTTCAATCTGCATCCGAGCAAACTCATTAATAAGTTTATTCTGTTGAGTGATACAATGTGCCAATCCACCCTTCACTTTACGACTTAGAGCATCTGCTACCACATTCGCCTTCCCCGGATGATATTGGATGGTGCAATCATAATCCTTCACATGCTCCAACTTTCTTCTTTGGCGCATATTGAGCTCCTTCTGAGTGAATATATATTGCAAACTCTTGTGATCAGTGAAAATTTCATATTGGCCACCATAGAGATAATATCTCCAAATCTTGAGTGTGTGCACTACCGCTGCCAACTCTAAATCATGTGTTGGATAATTCTGCTCATGCGGTTTTAATTGTCGCGAAGCATATGCAACAACTTGACCATCTTGCATGAGTACACATCCAAGACCCCTTTTAGAAGCATCACTATAAATAGTAAAACTTCTAGTAGGATCAGGAATAATCAATACTGGTGTTGATGTAAGCTTCTTCTTAAGCTCTTGAAAACTCTTCTCACAACGATCGGACCACTCGAACTTCACAGATTTTCTCGTTAAATTTGTCAAAGGGAGAGCAATCTTTGAAAACCCTTCGATAAATCTACGATAATAACCTGCTAATCCGAGAAAACTTCGAACTTCTGATGGGTTCTTTGGTACAGACCAATTCTGAATTGCAGCTATCTTTGCTGGATCCACTTCTACACCTCTCTCAGTGATAATATGGCCTAAGAATGACACTTTCTTCAGCCAAAACTCACACTTAGAGAATTTGGCATACAACTTCTCCTTTCTAAGGGTACTGAGAAAAACCCTTAGATGTTGCTCATGCTCTTCTTGACTCTTGGAGTAGACCAAAATATCATCAATAAAAACGATGACAAATTGATCTAAATACTTGTGGAAAACACGGTTCATCAAGTTCATGAACACCGCTGGTGCATTACTTACCCCAAACGGCATCACCAAAAACTCGTAGTGACCGTATCTTGTCCGAAACGCAGTTTTAGCTATGTCAGATTCCTTAATTTTCAGTTGATGATAGCCTGAGCGTAAATCTATCTTTGAAAATACGCAAGCCCCTCTCAACTGATCAAACAAATCATCTATCATTGGGAGCGGATATTCATTCTTTATCGTTAACCGGTTTAAATTCCGATAATCGATACACATTCTCATGGAACCATCCTTCTTCTTGACAAACAATACAGGTGCTCCCCAAGGTGAAACACTTGGTCTAATGAAACCAAGTTTCAACAACTCTTGAATTTGAGTTTTTAACTCTTGCAATTCTTTTGGTGCCATCCGATATGGTGCCTTCGACATAGGCGCTGCTCCAGGAACAAGATCGATTGTGAACTCCACTTGCCTGTTGGGTGGTCTTCCTGGTAATTGGTCCGGGAACACATCAGAAAACTCACGAACAATTGGAACATCATGAGGTGTTTGTGCTCTCGAATTTTCATCAACAATACTCACCAAATATCCTTGACAATCCTCCCGTCTTATAATCTTTCTTGCCTTCGCCTTAGAAATTACCCGAGGCAACGTTCGCGTCTTCGAGCCGTAGAAAGAAATTTGATCCTCCTCCGAAAGATAAAGAATTACCTCTCGGTCATGACAACGAATATCAACACGGTAACGTGTTAGCCAATCCATACCGAGTATGAGGTCAAAATCCCTCATCTCGATGACGTACGCGCCGACCTCTAAGATTCGCCCTCCAATATTGAGTCTAAGGTTTTCTGCCTTAGAACTCGTCACTATTTTCTGTCCTGAGGCCAAACCTACCTCAAGAGGATCAACAGTGTCAAGGAGTTGAACTCCTATGGCTTCTATACATCGTTTTGACACGAAAGAATGCGATGCTCCCGTGTCAAACAATGAAAAAATAGGAATATCATTTAAAATAATCATCCCAGACATGGTACCTAGGTTCTCCTCTGCCTGAGCCTGGTCCACAGCATATACTTGAGCTTGCTGCCCCGCTCGCCTCTGCTGCTGAGGTTGAGCCAGAGGTTGAGGCTGCTACCTGTCTGGACATTCCTTGGTCATATGCCCCGGCTTCCTGCAATTATAGCAGACATTCTGCCCTGCTAGGCACTCTCCACGATGAGCACGTCCAAACGTTCCACAAACTGGTAGTCGGTTAGCTGGAGCTGGCTGCCTTTGGTTATTCTGAGGGCCCTTAAACTTTCTCTTGTTCTTGAGTTTGTTCTTTGCTGGTTGGTCAGGCATGGGCTGCATTGGGGAACTGACTGGAACTTGAGGAAGTGGTGACACTTGAACTTGGCCATCTCCTCTTCTGAAACTCGCATCCATTTCTTGAGCCTTGGTCACCACTTCAGCATAGGTCTGAATGCAATGCCCGGCTACATGGTGATGGATTACTGGTAGTAACCCTTCTTGGAAGCGCCTTGCTTTCTTGGCCTCCGTGTCTATAAGATAACTGACAAAAGATCCCAATCTGGTAAACTCTCGCTCGTATTCGCCCACAGAGCGATTACCTTGGACTAACGCCAGGAATTGGCGTTCCATCTCAGCACGGTAATGAGCTGGATAGTACTTTTCTTCTAGCATCTCCTTGAACTGGATCCAAGTGAGATGCTCCTTCTCACCAGGACGCATGCCCCAGTAAGAGTTCCACCATAGTCTTGCATCTCTTGTCATCTGAAGTTGTGCACAGAGAATACGGTGTCTGTCTGTGTATTCAGTGATCTCGAAAATAGATTCCAGACCCTGAATCCACTCCTCGACTAAACGAGGATCTCCTTGCCCTGAGAATTTCTCAACATTGAATCCCCGGAACTGGGCAACGACTTCTGAGGTCATCAATTCTCTTCTAGCTACAGGTGCCATCTAAAATTTATCGTAAAAGATAAACTTTTAGCACACTTAGAAAAATACTGGCAAAATACTATGTTTATTGAGCATCTATTTTGATAAAATTCAGACATCTGATTCTTATTGAGCATAGACTTAGTAATTTGCATATATTAAAATTTCATAAAAACTCTTAATAACACTTACCTGGTAGTCGGCGAGGTGTGAGTGTGGTGCGGTCGGTTTTCCTGAAACTTTCTTTCTCAAAACTTAAACTTTTAGTATACAAAGCGTTTAGACTTTGGCTCTGATACCAACTGTAACACCCCGCTCATCAGAGTAAATTTTTCGCAACTTATTTCGAAAAATACTTATAACTTTTTCGAAATATTCTTAACTCGGAATGCTACTAAAACTTAACTTCTTTGAAAATATATTTTCTTAAACTCGATAAAACAGATTAACATTTTAAACAAGTGTGAAACTAAACTTATTTATAATAATAAACAGAAACTTTACTTAATTATCAAACTTCAAATCACACAAGTTCAAATTTAATATACATAGCGGAAGTCTTTAAGCGTGGCATTTACAAACCGATACCTTATTGAATTTCACAATCAAACTTTAATGAACTCACAACTTAATGCAAAACTGAATGCACAACCGACACCACAACAACTTGACTCACACCCTCGGCCCGACCTTGTTACCTGAAAATGATAGTAGTGGGACGTGAGTACTAATCAACTGTACTCCGTAAAAACTCATACTAAGTAAACATTAATAATAATATCAATATCATGAACATAGGTATATATAAGCTTCTCCCGGACATTGGTCCGGTAACTTTAACTGAACTTTGCAACTACCGTACTACCGGTTCTCACGTGATCACACATTGGGGGCTGCCTCCCCAAAACCTAGTCTGGACTGGGCGAGTCTTTAACTTACTTAGGATGGCTTATTAAGGCTAGTGCGCCTCCACCCCAAGCATAACCTTAACTTATATACATACCTTTGAACATGATCTAGCTATTATACTCAATGTACTACCCAGTATGGTTTCCCACCTTTCGTCTTGAAAACTGTTTTGAAAATTGAAAGTGTTGTTCTTGTAGCCGAACTTCTCACGCTACATAAAAAACATAAGCAAGAATACTAAGTACTATGCTCGAATAATCTTTAACTGATAACTTATCCGATTAATATATAAACCATAGCTCAAATATCATAATACATTGAATAAATCAAACTCTTGATGAACTTCCTCCAAAGATAAAACTCAACTCATATAAATCATGCCTTATTACTTAGATGTTGGCTTACAAAACTTGTAAGTGAAATAACTCAAACTCACATACATAACTCAACATATTTAACTTACCAACATCAAACTTAACTCATGATTTATAACAATTAAACTTGCTCATCCTTATAACTCAATCATAACATTAAATTATGATATTAACATGTTTACTCAACATGTTAAAGCTAAACTTGCACAATTTATGAAATTGCATGCTTATCAACATTTTGATGCTAAACTTATCAATTTACTCATCATCAAATGTGAAACTCATACTCTTACACTTAACATGAATAACATATCATATTAAGCTATCAACTTATAACTTTATCAACTTCTCATCATGATAACTCATATCAATCTCATGAAATGGATACTATTATGCCAACAAAAACTAAATCATTACTCAACTTATAACTCATGCATGATATCAAATACTTAAATTCTAACAAGAATCACTTATACTAATCATGTTTTGCTAATAACATGATTCAATCATCAAATACAAGCATGAATTACCTCCTTCAAGGACTTGAAATTTGAAAGACTTGATATGAACTTGAATATGAACTTGAATATCTTGAAAATCCTTTACTCCAAAATACTTCTCCTCACTTAAACTCTCAATATAACTTTGATACTTTACTTTGGTGTAAAAATCTGATTTTTGAAGCCTCTATTTATAGCCAAAACTTTGGAATAAAATATTTGGAGTGAAGAAATTAACAAATTAAACAATTTAAACTTGTAAAAATTAATCACTTAAACAAGTCCTTACCAAACATTTCAAATTTTTAGCTAAGCATATTTAATTGCTCAAAATACACTTTAGTTGGCATCAAACTCGAATCATAAAAATCTGAAATTTAGTCGGTCACACGACCACTGTCACTAGTCACACGACCCGTGTCACTTTAGTCACACGACCCGTGTGAACTCACACGACTCGTGTCACTTTAGTCACACGACCCGTGTGAAAAAAATGAAGCTAAACTTGAATAGTGCCTTGAGCCACACGACCCGTGTGGCTTGTCACACGACCAGTGTGACGTCACACGACCAGTGTGGCTACCCACACGACCCGTGTGACTTAAAAACTTTAAAATTTTAACTTTTTAAGCCTCAAAATAGCTCAATCTTGGAAATACATTGATACTTATTACTAATAATTGAATGGGATATTACATTTAAAAAGCTAACTAATGAAATTCCGGTAAATGCTTGGGCGAGGTGTTTTACACCTGTACGGCGCTATGGATTCATGACATCAAATTCATGCGAAAGTTTGAACAACAAACTCCGTTGGGCCAGGATGTTACCCGTTTGCTCGTTGTTGGAGTGTGTTCGAGCAACGATAGAGAAATGGTTTGTTGTTCGGCGTGCATCCACCGAGGGTCGCAATCATCCGCTAACGTAGTGGAATCAATTGCGGTTGTATTCTTTGTTCGAGAAAGGTCGTACTCTATCTATTACCACACTCGGCATGCAACATTATAGGGTTATGGAAGAAACACGATCCTATGTGGTAGATTTAGAGGCAAGAACATGTGATTGTCATGTGTTTGAAACAGATCTACTACCTTGCTTACATGCATCAACGGCTATTCGGTAATGTTTACCAAACAACATTATCGCTTTTTTCTTTTAAAAATAAAGAAATTGCTATATTCTAATATGATGTGCATTTACGATATGTAACAAGGAAGCCGGGTTAGATATAATGGATTTCGTTAATGACCATTAGAAAACCTACTCAGTTGCAAGGATGTACCAAAGCACCGTTAGCCCCGTCCCGCATCCAGGTGAATGGCACTTGCCCCCGGAAATTATGCGTAAAAAGGTAATTCCGCCAAATGATCCCAAACAAGCAGGTCGACCACAGACTCAACGTTATTCCGCTGGAGAAGGACCATCACGTCGAGTACGGCGTCAGCAGATGTGCTCACGGTGCGGGGTCACCGGGCATAACAGGGCGAAGTGCCCTCTATACGATGGTGATAATGACTTTTTTTTTCAAATGTAAAAGGTCAAAACGCACCAACTCCTCATCCAAGACGCCCGAGGAGATGTCGTAAATGTAAAGAAACAGGTCACAAATCGTCATCTTGTCCATCACGTCCAATCCATGACAATTAAGATGAAGATGGAGTTTTTAATTGTTCGCATAAGTTACGTACCGCATTGACTGATTGTCTGCTTTTACACCTAAAAAACAATGACGATTTGCATGCTTCCTAATTTAGTTGTCAAGTTGATGTATATCTCTACCTAGCCTTTAAGTGCTATCTGTATTTATGAACCTTTCATTCTCTTTGTTGAAGAAGCGACCTTTCACTTCTCAAAACCCTATCTTTCCATCGCAGCAAAAAAAAAAATAAAATAAAAGAAATAGAAAAGATTTCACCCTATGAAAAAGATCGCGATCCGCTTCCGTGGAAAATGTTGGACTGACTGCAGCAATAATAAATATTTTTTTCTTTTGTCAAGTATGTGTTTAATCATTATTCATATGTCAAAACAAAACAATATGTTGCATGGACAATGGAACCATTAATATCCGTCAACAGAGTTTTGCCAGCAAAATCAGTGACAATACTCGAAGGGAAATTATTATTCGCAGAACTGTGAACAAAGTGCGATAATTCGCATTGTGTTCGCATAGCGTAATGAAAAAAAATAAAAGTAATTTATAGTTTTTAGTCGCATATCCAGGCCAGGCCAATCAAACGCATCATTTAGAATTATGCGGCATATGTTCGCATAATTTAAGATTCGCATATCCAAATCTATAAGGCTAGATAGTAGATAACTATCGATTATGCGTATTGTTATCGCATATTTACGAATCGCATATCCATATAAAACCTCGCATAAATGTATCAATATGCGAACACATTTCGAAAAGTGTTACGCACAACTTTTTTTCACCTAATAGTTTTTTTCAATTCATTATTAATTTAGTCAAAGACATTTTCCAAAATTTACCAACTCTTCGGAAAATATGGGACGTTTGTATATCGCAATTTTTTACGTCGCGGAATATAAAATTTACAAAAACAAATATAAAAAATATATGTTATTCGTTATAGTTCGAGTTATGCATTTTTTATGCGGAAATGTTTCGAGTAATAATCGCAGGTTCTTTCGCCTAATAGTAGTCTTCTTCAATTTATTATTAAATCACTGACAAAACTTAAAAAGAAAAAAAAAATAATTATGCACCAATTCTGCGAATAATATGCGACGTATATGTCGTAATTTTGCATCGACTCAACTACTTTAAATCAACGAATTTTTTATAGGCGAATAATATGCGACGCATGTACGTCGCAATTTTACATGTACTCAATTACTTTACATCGACTGAAGTAGTTTACAAGTAACCTTACAACATCACACAAGTTACTAGATAGAGGAGGCTACAACAGCGAGTTGGAGAACAACTTCAAAGATCAGAACCAATTGGATGATTGTGCCGAAGTTGGAGGAACATGGGGGGGTAAACAAGTTGGTCCGCGAGATGAACGTGTTCGCCAAGCCATGTTTGACTTTCGATAAACATTTGAAAGTCTCAATCTAGTATACCCCGGAAGAACAAGCACCTTCGTCTTTGAAGGGGTGCTCCCTTTCATCGTCGTAGGCGCCTCAATCTAGTAAACCCCGGAAGAACAAGAAATTCACAGGAGATTCCACGCCTTCCCAAACACATG